GGAAAGAGGGAAGAGCGCCGAAAGAGAACTAGCTCTGCCCCTTCTTAATGACAAATCTCTGAAGGAACACAAACATTCCGGAATGTTTCACAACAGGCTCTCTTGGAAGAAAAAAAAGGGGCCCGGATGTGTTGCCTTGGAGACAGGTAGGGTTCTGTGGGATCACCTGTCCAGGAACGCAGGCCCCTCGTCCTCTTTCCAGCTCCACATCGCCACGGCTGGCATTCAGTATTCAGACAGCGCGTCTTTTCTAAGGAGGCAGCTCAGAGAAGGAGCAGAAAGCCTTTTGCCAAGTCTAACACTGGGTGGTGATTCTCTTGGGACTGAAGAACGCATAACATATCTTTCCTGTTCCTAGTGCTTCCCGAGCAATCTGAACGCTTCCCACAGTAACCTCTTTATCGCCGTCCAGCGGGATGCTGGCCCCCCCAGACCGTGCTCTCTCCGAGGGCCAACTGGGCGGGATGGCTTTCTAAAGGGCCCTGCAGACTGCATGCCAAGAACTGTCCAAACTTTCAGCCGAACCTCTCCTCCCAGCCCGGGCACAATGGCCAGGCCGGTTCTTCCTGCCCCGGGGTGTTTCACACGCATAGTTCCCATAGCTCAGGATTACACAACTCCTGAGGACACGCCACCACCGGACCTCGGCAGAGCCCCAGTGCTAAGCAGCCCACACCTGCAAGGCTGGGATGGCCGGAAGAAAGTGCAATCTTTGCAATTCTCCTTCCTCCCTTTAATACGGTTTGGTGAAAACACCTTCATTCTTTCCTCAAACGAATCTGGGGATGAAAAAAATCACCATCTCATAGCTGGTGAGGACGGCTGAGCACATGAACCACAGCTGAATCGGAGCAAACACTACAGAAGTGGACGAGACAGACAGGACTTTGCCCTACACTCCCGTCAGGGAGACACCCCAACCAGAAAATGAATCCACAGGATCATTTCAGGGACTCATGGTATTCAGAAATGTACAACAGGGTAGTGGAATTACGTGTAAGGGTGGGGTGGGGCAGGGCAGTCAAGGGAAGCAAGGGAAGCTTCTCGGAGGAGGTGATCTTGGAGGGGAGACCAGATGGTGGGAAGCAACAGGAACAGCCAGTACAAAGGCTTTGGGTAGGGATGATGGTGTGAGGAACAGAAAAGAAAGCCGCATATCTTCACGTTATGAGTGATGGACTGGAGGTAGAGGGGGCAGAGGCTGGGCTTTTGGGGCTCTGGGGTCCCCGTTAAGACTTTGAGCGCCACCCTAGTGCCGAGCTGCAGAAGGTGACCCAGAGAGGCTCTCTGACTCACCCTCTCCTCAACTCCTTTCTCCCTCCTTTCAATCAGTCCTCCAAGCAACAGAATTTATTGCGTGGGCTTCCCTGGTGGCGCGATGGTTAAGAATCTGCCTGCCAATGCAGAGGACACGGGTTCGAGCCCTGGTCTGGGAAGATCCCACTTGCCGCGGAGCAACTAAGCCCGTGAGTCACAACTACTGAAGCCCGCGCGCCTAGAGCCCTTGCTCTGTGTAACAAGAGAAGCCACGGCAATGAGAAGCCCGTGCACCGCAATGAAGACCCAAAGCAGCCAAAAATAAATAAA